AAATAAAAACCATCAGAAGCCACATTATCAAAAAGAAAGTTTTTTCATCACATAAGATGTTTGTTCTCAATACCCAAAATCATGTTCAACTGGATTCAAACGGAACTGCATGTATTCCTGCACACATGGAAGCGAACTAGTTTGTGTAGCGTTCTACAGGTGCGACTAGATCCCGATTACCTGCAGGCGCCCGAATACCCTGGCGAGAGCGCCCGGGTATATGGTTTATAGTTTTTAATTCACCAACTTTTCCAAAAACAAGTGGACTGACAGAATCTGATTGTAATCCTACCAACGCCACTAGGTACCCACATTCAGAAAAGTCACCGGTTTTCTTCTACTTTACGTTCAAGTAACAGCGGTTTTTCTTTTATTAATTTATACCAACAATTTATTTTTAAAACATTAGCTTGGGCCCCTCTAGGCCCATGGTCAAGTGTCCCACTGCCCCCCCCCCCTCATGGGCCATGAATGATATATGAATAAAGCTGGATGGGAATTTTACTCCGCCAAAGCATTAAAATTTCACTAGCATTTTCGTTACTTTTATCGTGAGGAATTGCTATAATAATTAGACTGCACGCATCGGGTGTTTTTAAATGCAATATTTAAGACAGATCTGGCAATTATTTTTTCTTAAAAGTTGTCATACCTATTTCAATAGGCACTTTGATCTTTCATAACCATAGAAGATCTATTACTGGGTTCGAGAACGTATTATGTGGTACTGGAGGAGCGTTTAGATGGAACGTCCGCCGTGAGGCGACTCGTTCCAAAGGGCCCAGTGACGGGGGTTAGGGGGTACCCCCCCCCCCACCCCCAGAAAATTATATCGGATACATTTAGATTCCCTGAAATGCCATTTCCTGGACTTGGCGTTGGGGGAGGTGGGAGATTTTGAAAAACTCTGATGGTCAGAAAGCACTTATAACATAAGTAAAATTGAATACTACGCATGGGAATTCATGTTATTTATTAAGAATTTTGCATGAGTGCAACCCAAGCAAGCGAAGTTTATGGTGCATATTTTTGACAATGTGATTGAAGTGGTCATATACTACTCTTTGGTAACAGAGGTATATCGTGTTACACGTGAACATACTCAAATCCAAATAATAAAATTTGCGGTATTTTAGTTTCGTTTGGTTTTGAGCCTAAGCAATATAAAATCTAACCGTATAACTTTCGGGCAATCTGACTTTTCGGGCAGACGGGACAGGTCCCAAATCTAATAAAACACCAATTTTACTTTTCTTTTATTTGAATACCACAAATTTGTACTAAATTGACTATGGATTAAAACGTTTTGTCTGGAGTCACTCTACTTTGTGCGACATTTCGGGTATCGATTATTTGTGAACAGTCTGATTGTATGGTTGGAATTCAGGTCGACAGTGAGTGGGATTTCGATTACAAAACCATTGGACAACTTTGGAGTTACTTTACTCACGGGCTAAAATAGCAGAAAAACGCATTTGCGGCGGTTACATTTTAAAAATTTTCTCCAGGAGGGCGAGGCCTCCATACCCCGCCACGATTTGTTGTTTGTTTGGGATTCGGGTCAGCCACCTAAGGTAGGCCATATGGAAGTTGCTGTCTCCGGGAACTGTAAACGGTTGATTGGAATTCGAGTCAGCTACCTAAATTAGACTTATTAGACCACTTTGAAGTTGCTGTATGCACGGGTTCCAATAGCAGGAAAACGCGTTAGCGGTCGTCAAATTTTCCATTTTGTCTTTTTTTTGTGTGTGTGGGCGGTGGGGGCGGGGCAAAGCCGAATTTTTTCGGGCATTTCTAGTTCTGCCCCCATAACAGCCATCGAGCCCGTAGGCCTATGTTTGATGCCATCTTCGACGTTACGGTTGTCGGCGTATGCCCGTCTTCATTAGCCCATTGGGAGCAAAACAATAGAACGTTAAACCCCCATTTCATGTAAATTATGAAATGTATCTTCGCTGGTACAGAGTCGAGAGTGGAGTGCATGTACATTGCATACTTGTTGATGTATAGTTCGTCATTCGCCTTGGATTCTGGTGCCGACGAAATCATGCCCGATGCTAAATTGCAAGATGCCGAAGATGCAAGGCTGGCTTGCCTCAAGAAATTAAACATTATCAATACAAATAACAGGGTTATCATTCTTAGATATGAATGACCTTCACTTCTACTAGTTATGCGCATTCGGTGTGACGCGTTTCATTTTGAATTCTATCCGAATAAGCTGTAACCCGCTTTTAAGCCGAGACAAACCAATCTGAATTCCGGAGGCCGGAATTCGCATTGAATGAGCATGCAGTGTGCACGCACCTTATAGATTAGCGAATCGCATTATAGCGAAGAAAGAAACACCCGTAACACAAACCTGAATTAAGTGTCGATAGATGTATACATTGGGGGATCGGGTGGGGAGCTTGGGGGAGGGGGGTTATTAGCTTACATCATATGCAACGCTAACGAATATCCAGTCAATAGGTTTTCAGCAAATATACATAACTCTCGTACAGCAGGTCGCTAACAAGTCTGAAATTTTCCGGAGGAGGGGCGAGGGGATACTCCAAAAAGAAAGGCCACAGAAGGCTGAATATCAATCTTCACTGTTAACTTTTACCGCTTGATGTATGCTGCATTCATATTTGAACGCTGTTTAATAGCTGCTTTCACACTAGGGGTTTAATCTGAATTGAATTCATAATAAAGTCTTATTCCAGACTTTGGCGTCACACTCAATTCGATAAAAACCGAACTGAATCTGAATTAACGAATCCGTATATTTTTCCGAATTCAACCCGGAACAATTATTCCGAATCGGGTTATTCGCAGTCATGATTTGAGTGTGACACGCTTGACTCATATCAACAGTTTTACCGGAAACTGAAACAAATGCTGCGGTAACATAACTAGCTAATAATAGGTTGTCGGGCAACGAAACATACGCCCTTAGCAGCTAAGTCCTCCGAGCAGTCAACAAGGGTTGTGGCATACTTTTCCTTTTGTCAGTAATGCAAACATTTACAACACACTAAATTCTGATTACGAGTTCTGCCCTATACTAACATTTAATATCATGGCCCATAACTCTGGCAGTAATTATCGTAAATCGTTCAAAATCAATTGGCTTCTTCATCCATGACCTTAAACACTGTGCATAAATATCATGGGCCGTAACTCTGGCAGTAACTATCGTAAATCGTTCTAATTCAATTTGCTTCTCCATCCATGACCTTAAACACTGTGCATAAATTCAAAGTCAATCAGATATTAACATTAGCCTCTAGCGCGTCGGACGGGGGCGACCACAATATACGACCACATTTCAATGTGGGCATATAAAAATTCAAATACAAAGATAGGTGTATTCAGGTCACAGCTGGCAATTCACGGTCTAGACCTTGGGGGCAAGGCAGGTAAGCTTTAGTCGTCTCAAGTCTAGTGGGTCTAGTCTCTAGCATGTATTACATATAGCTGGATAAAAATGACAACAAAATGTATTGCTTTACATTATTTATGTTTAGTGCTGAAAGGATCTGAATTATGAAATGGGAGCCACAATAGTTCAGTGAGTAAGAAGCTGGGTCCGTAGTCTGGTGGTCGAGGGTTCGCTCCCGGTGTTGGCCGAAAACGTTCTTCGAGATTTTCCGGCGTGGTTTCCCCAGTTGCAGGACGGAGGGCCTGACAAGGACAGCTGTGTAGTCATTCGGATGGGACGGAAAAAATCCCTTAATAGTTGGAATTCGATAAAAGCGTAGGCCGTAGCGCCGCTGTCCTGGGAAAATGGTCTATGCCCGACTTTATAAGCCCAGTCGGACCAGAACAGTAGGAGTGTTCAACCCCATTTCGTAACATTTCAATTATGAAATGTATTTTCGCTAGTGCAGAGTCAAGAGGGAAGTACATGTACATACGTGTTGATGTATAGCAAACACTACCAAAAGAGTAGATGTAAAAGTAAAATGTTCATGGTTTATGTCTTCAATATTCTTTAAAAATAACAAACTGAAGATTAGTCTTCATATAAATTCATTACCAACCGGTTTCACAACAAAGTGATCATCAGGGTAACTTATACATTGTGATGCTAATGGTATAGCGTTAACAATGGCAAGGGACGTGATTCATGGCGTCACAAAATGCGCACAGAGAATGAAGAGCTGAGGAAAATCAAATAACGATTCTTTATTGAAGGATAAACCCCTAAATTAAACTGTAACTAACATGAAATCATGTCATGTTGACGTCACATTTACTGCGTATATGACGCCATGAATCACTTCCCTTGCCATTGTTAACTCTTAAAGTAGCTAAGTCCGTAACTCAATATCATCCAAAATCTTCGACATTGAAAACACGAATTTTTTGGCAATTTAAATCAGCATAGGTGTTGTGATCTTACATGGAAAAGATGGACTTCTGATATCCAATATTTAAGACAGAATAAACATTTTACCATTGGTACACAAATCGTATACCATAATGCGTTTCAGCGCCATTTGTAACAAGGTGCTCAAAGAATGAGGCTAGACATACTCCACCAGTCATGTCGAACGGTGATATCATATTCTTATTTGGAGAGCATGCACAATAAATAATATCGGTGTTGACTGGAATAACAAGACGCTAGAAACTGACTAGAGGTTGAGACTTCTGGCGTATTTCGCCGAACATAACTGATGACAATTCACAGTAAAACGGACACGATTAAATGTAAAACAGTTTATATAAATTCATATTACATTATTATATGTGTTGCGACTCATTTGTGCTAATTTCTAGGTCCAAAATATTAGCGATTTAGCTCCTTTAATATGATCACGCCGTACTCTGTAAACGTGGCTTGAATGTTTTCTAAAATCGTATCGGAACTCGACAGTTAAATGTATATCGCCAATTTGTTAATTAATAAAGGCGACAAGTTAATTAAGACAAACAAAAGACAATGAATAAATGTATAGAAAAACTGTCACGACTAGAATTAGTCTGTACAATGTATAGAAAAAAACATATTATTTTATAAGCTTTTTTTTATTTATAACCACTACATAATCTTTCAATCTGAAAAGCATATAGGTTGTAAAGAATGCAATAAATTTAAATAATAACACATTCACGTACTGAGATAGTTTTCTAATAAAAACTTCATAAATCTTCTAAACATTTTTAATATCCTGATGATGTACAAAGTAAAATCTATCTGTTAGAAAAGAATTTGTCCACTGCGTTACTAAAACCAAACATGTTTTAAAATGACAATCAGCCCCGTTTCATAGAACACTCTCAAATATCCATACAGTGGTTAGCGACTAATTTAAGAATTGGGTTTTCTAAATGCTCATTTGAGAAAATGTGGGAGTTGTTTTATAAGCAGTAAATAGCGATAACATTATGTTTTTACACTATGCAAAAATTGGACATAGTTTGATTCATATAGATCAACAACAACATTGCTACTTTAAGTAACTATAATTTCCTTTTTATTTTTTACTTCTCTTTGTATTTGGGTGATAATTTGAATCTCATACACGTCTTTTTTTATATCAAATAGTCTTCAAGAGCCGGCAAACAGATCGTCTTTTAACTTAAAGGGCGGCAACTCCATTTTAAGCGATCTAACTATCCTGTTGAGTGTTCATGTTGATATTCATAAGAACATCCATCAATAGATCAACTGAAATATATATAACACAAATAAATTATATTTCATATAGATAACATAACATAAGAACTAAACTTATGAGTTAGAGTTGAATCTCTAAACGGAAAAGCAGTAGGTCTATATGGTTCAATTCAATTCAGTATTTACAAAGATATGTTGAATCCAAGATTTGTTGAATCCAAGATTTGTCATCATTCAGGATCCTCTGCTGACGATTTACATCCGACTGAATCGAAACAAGAAGTGATAAGAAATATCTAATCTGACTGTACAAAACAAATAGTCCATATAAATATAGTTATTGATATTTATTTATTCTTCTATCAGATCATCAACCAGAAGCACTTTTCCATAGCATGCAAAAATAATTAGGCGATTGAACGTGGAAAAAGTCAGTTTTAAAGGCCAGCAAGAGGCCACGTGACCTGTTTGATCCTTAATGATCCCTACAATTTTATGTACAGTTTTATGTATTTCAAAATGAGCTAGACACCTCGTAGTCAAATTAATACGCCACGAATCATGTATGCTTAGTTAATACGTGATCACTAATAAAAATATATATACGTCACTTTATATATACACCTCATCATTAATATTTCACCTTTCTAGAATCGTGCCATCTTTATTTGAGTAAAGGGTTAATTTTGTACCTGTTTTTTTTTTTAAAAAAAATCACACTTTTATAGTACCCACCCTAGTCAGATGCGGCACATCATAATCTAACTTGCTGTGGTGGATGCATGTCTCTTAAAGCTACAATTTCATATTTCTAAGTTATATTTTTAAAATGTATTAAAATAAAGCCTTGAAATAGATGGTATCTATTAAAGAATAATCCTATTAATCCTATAATTCACTATTGCCAGTTGAGAAATTGGCAAAAAATTCAAACGTTTGGAGATAGCTATTCCATGGGGGCAATTGTGTTATTATTTCTGGTGTGAATGATTTTATAAGTGTGATAATGATACCTATGATCGTATAATAGTGAGTTGACAACCTATTGAGCAAAAGACATAGAAATAATTCTGTTTAGACTTACTTAGAAAATATGAAATTCTCGCTTTAACATGATTTTTTTAAAAAATCATATCCAGGCTTGTTTTTTGAGTTTCGCCTTTCTTCGATATATGAAGATTTATTGAGCCGGTCAGTTCTAATGATATTATTTTCAATCTCCCCAGATTCATTATGCGAAAATGTAAAGAAAACCGGATAGTAATTATTGTAAATCAAATTGGTTTTAGTTATGTTGCTTGTAAATATATTTACTTGGTGCATCTGGTCCTACTATAGTCACCGCTTCATCTATTTGACCGTTAGTAAAACCAGCATTCATTGCCACTGCTACTGATTCTGTTAAATCTAAAAATATCAAACAAATAAATCATTCAACATTTACAGCTCAAATAGGAATCAAATTAGATAGTTGTTTTGGTGTCTAGTAGAAATAAATGGACGGCTATGTAACAAGGGTAGAGAAGTTAAACAAGCTTATATCCGAAATTATAAGAACTTATCCCTTTATCCTGCTCGTGGCTTGTGCAGCGATGCCAACCATGTAAGTCGAGATTCTGCAACCAATCTGCAACTTGTCTCGGATAGTGTAGGATGCCGTTCAGGATGCTAGGTATGCTTACACTGCCAGAAATACACAACGAATCCTCAAATTCTTTGCGAAGTTGACTCGGCCGATTATTTTGTGTCGGACTTTTCTAATGAAAGACTAGAAGATATATACCTGTGTTATTTCTTTGACTTGACATTGTTGTCTAAAATAAAAGGAATTTTATTACATTTAAAGCGAAGAATAAGTTGACTATTGCTCACTTAACTCCTTACCTCCAAAGCCATTAGAGGAACTTTCCCAGAAACATTTAAGCAAGTAAACGGTATAATTCAATGTGATATTATTTCAACTCATAACAACAGAAACCTTGTGAAATTTGCGAGTGTTGCTTGAGAGGTGGAGTCGACACTCCTGTACGTCTATAGCTCTGGCAAGTGGCAATTGACCGAAATTAATTGAACAATATGAGAACCACTGTCATGTTCATTGTTTAAGATTTACGGTGTTTATTGAGAAATTACTGAACTTAACCTAACAGACCACATGGTCATGCTAGAGCACGAAAATCTATTAAGGATGGATTACCTGTTGTCCCATATTATTATGTAACTCAATAACAAAATCCGCTCCTTTCTGGGACTTAATAAAACCACAGTTGTTTGACCAACGAATGTGTTCCATCCAGGGATCATCAGTGGGCTCCCACGTCTTTAGTGCAATACCACAAAACCAACACTTCACTGCATCTACATTGCCTAATAAAAATAAATGTGGGTTTTCTTCTACAAAACAACGAATCTTTATTATTTCCAAATAGCGGAGATAACACATGGATTTCCCCCCCCCCTCCCCACCAATGATATTTTTTTTTTAAATAAAAATTTGTATCGTTTTTAAAGTAGTATACCATGTGACATTGTTCCAGTGAGAAATGACGAACAAAAAGGACAGATAAAGGGAAATAACTCATACACCTCTACGTTTTGCATTAATTGCAACGATACGTCAACTTACCCGTGTAAAAGAATCCAGCTTCAGCCATCTTTATTGGTGATTGGAATCCAGTGTTTTTCCATGCTTTGGTGAAGGTTGATATACGACTAATCAGTGATTCATATTGGGGACTTTTAGATCCCTCTTTGTTTAATATACCGTTAACATATTCTATTTCTGCTGGCATGGAATGATCAATAAAATTGTTAGGTTGATTTGAACGTTCCCAATTCATGTTTCCAGCTGCTTCTTTACTAGATTCCTCTTTTAATATCGTATCCTCCTGCATGTTTTCATTAGTTATGTAAGTTGAAGCTAATTTTGTAGTCGTTTCATTCAAGTGTGGATCTTCGTGAGTTTTGTTCCTGGAACCATCTGGCATTTTAGGCTGCGCAAACTTTGTCGGTTTCTCTTGATTACGAATTTTCACATTTCTAGAAAACGGGGTATAAAAAAGACAGGATGGAGATTCATTTTGGTGAATCTGTTTTGGACGAACGCCTTTAAACCATGAAGACTTCGTCATACCGCATTCAAAACAAATGGCTTCGTCGTTTCTTCCTGAGCTGTAGAAACCTTCTTTAGCTAACTCCAGACAGGATATTTTAAAATAGAAAGCTGTATGATTATATGATGCTAATCGTATGCCTTCATATCTCATACAATTTGAGTCGAAATCCTTTTGGTATTGGGGAAGGAAGGGATAAGCAGTTATAGTTTGATGAAATGAAACATCCCATGGGACTCTTTGAAAGAGGGTAGCTTCGTAATAGTTATCGATTGTTAAAGAAACACATTTCGACATAAGTGGGTTGTTTTCATGGTCATCCCTTTCCTTCAGCCGTGTAGTCTGGTTTATTTCGTAAAAATTATTACCTATACTTGAAACACCCTTGTACATAAGTTCTTGATTTTCTTCAGGAACACCCTTTTTGTTCTCTGTGTGTCTATTGTTTGTTTCATTTGAATAAGTTTGAAGGACATTTACAAGTATTAATTGTATTACAAGTATTAATTGTAAAAATCTTAACCAACCGTGCTCTGTTCTAGAAATGAACTCCACGTCTGCCTTCTTTAAGGAACACCAACTATAGTTGTGTGTTGCTGCCAACTGCATGTTTACTAAGGGCACAAACAGGAAAAGAACTGTAACCAAAAGTACATTCCACAGAAGATACGAAGAGTGGGACATCATCACAAAACATTCTGTGATCCTGGAAAATAACAAGTCATTATAGACAACAAATAATAACACTTGACGTCCTAGGTCTACTTGACGTATAGTTCTAGGTCTACTTGACGTGAGTAGAGTCGGATGCCAGCTTATAGTGCTAGGTTTTAAACGGGTCTAAATAATAATATTAAAACCCACAGATACTTTATGTGCTTTGTATGCCCGTCTTCACTAGCCCGGATGGGGAATAAAGGTGGTCTTGAGACTTCATTGCATTTTATTCATACGACATCATGCACCCATTGTTATTGCCTTTATCCCATCTGGCGCATAAAGCTGAACCCACTACTTACATATATTTATATTCTGTTGTAATTGTACATTGGAGTTAGCATTTGTGGAATGTGGCCATTCCCTGGTATTTGGTATTATATAGGTTATTATTGATAAAGAAAGGTTTATTTCGTTTACCAGGAAGTATTTCAAATCCTTATTCGAAAGCTGTCTAGATTCAAACGTTTAAGATAGATGTATATATGTGTATAGATGTCAATAGTATACTGGTGACTTGTACAGAATATCACCCAGCTTTCTTCAATTTTAAATAAAACACCCCGCAAAATTACCTGTACACCTTCTGTTGCTTATATCGACACACAGTTGAAGTACAATACTTGACATCAAAACTGGTTTACAGTGAATCGTGAAGCAAGGTCAAATCGTCAATACAGAAAACGGGAAAACCCAAAATCTCTACATGGCTATGAAGCGATTTTCACGACATTGTACTGGTGTGCTCGCTTCAATGCACGAACTTCTTGCTTAAGCCAGGCTGACACTTGCACGACTTTTGGCCACGAGTTTACGTACACTTCACGCCAGTTTACGACTAGTTTGCGCACTGGCACTCGAGTCGTGCCAATGCGTGCCACGGAATCATGCAAGTGTCAGCCTTGCTTAACTTGTACATTTCTAATCTGTATGACTTGTTGGTTATATAGCGTAGTTTGAATTTGTAATTTACACTCTACTTTTAATTTATTGTGTTATTGTTAGTATTAAACCAGGTTGTAATCTGTTTAGTTTCGTTAATATGTTGACATTTAACAAGTGGTAAAAGACGCGACGAAACTTTCTCATAGATTTGCCCCCTTTAAGAACGAAAAAGTAAAAACTGTGATACTGTCGTGATTTTTATCGAACTTTCTGCTTTTTGGGAGGGGCGCTCTTCCGGTATTGGGTGCTGAGAACGATTTGCCGCTCGTATTGACCTTATCGCAAACTTCCCCTCTGACTTTTAATTTTTTTTAGACCTATAACCCCAAAATCAAAAACCATGCAGTATTTACAATAACGTACAGTTATTTCATACGCAAATTGTTCTTCTGTTTTGTTTTTTCACGCCAAGAAAAGGTAGAGAATATCAGGCTTTCATTTTAGGGCACCTGATTCAACTTTTCACAGCAGTTCATTTAGAAGAAATTATTATTCTTTTGTGTTGGCGGTCTTTAATCAAACGTTATCTTCTATCAAGACACTGAATCCGGTTTTTAAAAAAAAGTATGATTGAGAAATGCGGTATTATAATGGTGTGACAATCTTCCAATCACTACACTGAAAAAACACTTGTGTTGGATCTCAACACAAGTACTTGTGTTAAAACTAATCTACACAAGTTATGTGTTGTTTTGCATTGCATTAACACAAACTTGTGTCGATTTATAAAATCTTGTGTGTTTTTTCATATCATTAACACAAGTAATGTGTACCTTCCACGATTTGTTTTCTTTCTTAAAAAAAAATCCATACAAAGTCTGAATTCGGGAGTCGTCAAGTTTTAAGAAAAGTAATAAAGGGCTTAATTCACATCTCGAAAATCACATGCTGTTCTTCACTGGAAGGGAGTGAGTACCAATTAATCAGACAATTGCCAGACAGACTTGAATGTTAATTGGTGTTAAGTTGTCTGTATAGTTAAAATGTCTGGGGTTTTTTATTGACCCAATAAACTGATAGATCGAATGAATATATAGTGTACATGTTATTTTCAGCACCCTGGTGTTTTCGAAAATTGATTCAATGTGCAATGAACCAAAAAAATGAGTAAAACTCTTAATAATGTAATTGGTTGATGTAATCGAAATTGGACAGTATTGGTTAACTGAAAAGTAACCAATCAAATTTAATTAATCATCCACGTGTATCTCATAATCGACTTATTGATATAATGGTTCTCCAAGTTATCTATACTTTTTGTCTGCGATATCACTTCGGTGGAAGCGGACGTAAAATACAACTAACTAAGAAGAAGTATCTATACTTTAGTCATTGCGACAAATTCTTTCTTTGATATTATATCAGCGACATTCAGTTAGATGAAGTGAAGTTAGCATCAACAGAGTGCTTTAGCCGTGATATTTTAAAAAAAATTATAATGGTCACATAGAATACCAGACCGCAGGTTTGTAAATTTTTACAAAAAATAAAACCGTGTATTTAATTTAGCATGTATATATTGCTTCTATGTATATAATAATTCGTTTCGTTTAAAACAGTCAGATTTAGAACCACTGCCACTGACTGCACCGGAAGTCTATTTATATAATGGCGCCACAAAGAAATTTTTTTTTTATGTGTTCTAAAAGTGTTCCGCTAATTCAGCAATCTAATGAATCTGTCTAAATTTTTCTGAAATCGTGCTTAATTATTATTAGCTAATCGGCGCTACACCGTTGTTCAAATACTTATAATTGCAAGAAACCCCCGACTAGGACCAGCAGGTAAGAATCTGTCTTGATTTTATAGTAATACCCGGTTACAATTATTGGCCGCCATCTTTGATTTTTATAGACGTTCGGGCAAAAGGAGAAGTGTATATCCAGACAAGGACTATAGCTAGATACTAACTTCTGTGTTAGCTGTTTAGTTGAAATGTAATCTTATTTCTGTAAAAGAAAAAAACAACAAACAAATCAGCCTTTTTTATATATCAATGTCATCAATGTGTAGGCCTAATAGTAATATTAGACTTTCAATGATAAATGATTCAGAAGTTTCTCTACAGTATTGTTATTTTTTTTCCAGTCATTGATGTTAGCATGTACTACACAAAGAAAAACAGGTAACAGAATTTCATTTCCTTTTAATATATTTTTTTAATAATGGCCAATAATTGTTATTGTATGTAATACGAAAAGTATTTATCTCTGTAGAGAGAGGGCGAGTAAATGGGGTTTAAAGTTCACTAAATTCACTTGACACAAACTATGCCATTCATTTCCTTGTATTAAATTGGTCGAATCAAGTAGGTCCATGCTATATGTCCTAGAATCAAGTAGGACAGGTAGTCTTCTTCCGTTTCCGCCCTTTTCCTGAACACTGTCTCATTCTATTGCCATCTGTGTATGTTGTGTTATATTAATTCTGCATAAACCTAGAGTTGTTGTTAGTGTTTGTCGGATAGATCCTTTATACTTACTGGCGCTAGGTAATTTCGAGGCTAATATTGTTCAATTTTATTTGAATGATTTGTTTGCGCGTATTAGAAACAGTGTTCGCGCAGGTTCGAGAACAGCTGAAGAACATGAAAACACTTTCATGAGTCTCGAACATGAGAGAACGGTATCCATGGTAACAAGATGAATTAAATTTATACAATCTGTTACGATAACTTGTTTGGTATTGACTTCGCTATTAAGCATAATTTTGATAAATTATGACTCTGTTTTACTCCTTTTCAATTCTTTGGATGACGATTACATCACCATTTGATACGCCCACATGGAAATGTGGTCGCATATTGTCATCGCCCTCGTCCGTCGTCTACAGACCGGATTATTTTGAAATTGATATGTTGTTTATTTTAATGAGATGAATCCTATTTATTTTCAATAATCTGCGATTTCCGCGAATTATGTCTAGAGTTGTGGCCCTTGTTTCACTTTTTCGAACCTTGTGAACGCGCGAACAACAAAATTATCATCCGATTTGTATGAAATGTGTATGCATTATTTAAATTAGTAAAACACAAAACAAAAAAATCTGTCAAATTTCATACAAATTTCTCAGCAGTTATCGATGCGTCGACCTTTGTAAACCCACAAACGACGAAAATTATAATCTTGTATGAAATTTTCTTGTAAATGCCCAAATTACCTACAAAAGAATGAATATGCAACAATCCCTGTTGACTGTGCAAACGATTAAACTGCTGTGGGCATATGTTTCATTGCCTGGCAACCTAACTTACTTGATGTTATACTGGCCACATACTACATCCAATTTTCGAACGGTATTAAACTTTTAAATTAATAAATGCACCCATGATGCTGTTTTCTCAGCAGTTATCGATGCGCCGACCATGTTTGTTCTCCCTCACACCAGCTATGAGGTATTGTGGGATTTGAGAACGGGAACGTGTTCGTGAACGCATTCCAGACTGCTCAAGTCCGACAAGAACCCATTCTCCGTCCGTTCTCTGCACCGGAACACTGTTTCGAATACACCCTAGGGTATTTAGCAAAGGGAGGAAACCGGAGGACCCGGAGAAAACCCACAAGGCTGGACAGGCGACCCTATTCCTAGTCACATTCAAGTGGGGAATCACATACTAATGGCCTATTTCAAATAAGATATTTGCATATAAAGAAAGTAGGCCTACAGCCGCTTTCAAATGTGATATTTGCATATAAAGAAAGTACAAACTTAAATCGTCTGTGCTGGATAAACTAGCCAAAGGATTCGGCTGAATCAATTGGCGCTAAACTTCACCTAATTTATCCACTGACATACGCCTGAATCAAACATGTTTGATATATTTGGCTGAATTGTATTTGAGTGGTGTGTCCGCTTCGCCGAAGCATTCGTCTGATTTTAGAATTCATTAGCCAATCACCACTCATTCATATCGAGTGGGTATCACAAACTAGCAGTCGAACTGTGACACGGGTGCTACAGCCAACAAATTCCAACAACCATACTATCGGCTTAAATGCACGCCAATGGGACCTCAGGTTTTGTGTTCCATTGAAACGACTAGAAATGAAATGAAATGGGGTTTAACGTCCTACTGTTTTGCTCCGAACTGGGCTAATGAAGACAGGCATACACCACACAGTGTGCTATGAGGGAAATTTTGCCCGGACAGCGACACTGCGGTGTATCAAATTCCAACTGTCAAGGGATCTTTTACGTGCACGCCAACGTGTACACGGGACCTCGTTTTTCCGTATCATCCGAATGACTAGACAGCTGTCCTTGTCAGGCCCTCCGTCCTGCATCACTGACAAGGGGGAACCACGCCGGAAAATCTGGGTGAACTTTCTCGGCCAATGCAGGGATCGAACACCCGACCTCCAGGCTAGCGAGCCAGCGTCTTACCCACTTAGCCACCATGACGACTAGTCAGGGAATCCATGCTGAAAAATCCAAATGAGCTTTCTCGGTCAACACTGGGAGCGAACCTGCAACCTCCCGGGTACCAAGCCAGTGCCTTACACACTAAGCTACATGGCTCTCTTCTAATTACTGTGAGAGTCCAGTCACATGACAAACAAGGGTTATTAAAACAGATTTTCACGGCTTGGGTAAGATCTTCGGGTTTCAAATGGTTTTAGATATCACACAGTTTGTATATGGTAAGGTATCGTTTATTACATGTCACATATTCATATTTTTGTTTCCATATTAGATGCCATAGCAAATCAAAGATCATATAATAAAATAAGTCAAAAAACCCAAATATGGAAAAAGAAAGAGCTGAAGAAATGGTGATTTGAGCACCTATGCTTT